TTCATGGCTGACTCCACCGTCAGATTCCGTTCCGGAGTTGTCCAATTCATGCCGCTACGGAAATTGAGGAGAGAACCGTAAGACGGCTCCTGATCCGGCTTGTCATCAGGTGCCCATGTCGAATTGCCCCAAACAGCATCTCCTCCAATGGGAAGCATGGAAGAAATGCCAGGCATTGCTCGGAAGAGCTGGGCTCTTTCGTCTTTGCTCAAAAACTTCTCGAGGCCGTACACGGCAAAGGCGTTCAGCTGAGCTGTGTCTCTCATCTCACCTGACAAGACAGCTGTCAAGTCCTTGACAGCACCAAGCATGCAGCCACTCACGTTGATCCAAGCTTCGACGTGCTGTTCGACCCAATCATCGCCACCTCGTCCACCACTCTCGGATGCGACCCAGTGGAAGAAGTAGAAAAGGACTTGCCCTCCCATGCTGTGGGACACGAGAACGGCCTTCTTGCCCGAAAACGCATGCGCAGTTTCAATATAAGATTTGAGCCTCGAAAAGTACTGATCGCGTGTTTCGAGGTTGGGGTACGCCAAACGCCAGTCGTACGCGGCAGTGAAGGAATTAGTCGGGTCGTAGCCTATTGATGCCAGATTCTCGAAAATCTTGTTCCAGATCCAGTAACCGGTGATAAAGAAGTCGGTTGCGTCGAAGCCTTGAGCAGCTCGTAACTTGATATGAGGGGGGTCGAGACCGGTCTCCTGATCCAGCATGATATGTTTCTTCCAGTTTTCCTTGTCGAGGACCAGCGCACGCATCATGCTCCAACTACCCCAGAGGCGCTTTCGGAAATACTGGCGGGAAACGTTGGCCGTGCCCCACGATTCGAGGCCTGTTGAGATGACGCCTGGGACCATGATCATGGGGTGATGGGCATGAAGACCCTCGGCGCGGGCTTGCAAACCTACGGAGAAGGCATCGTAGCTATCGACGAATTCTCGCTCGCCTTGCTTTACAGCCAGCCATGTTAGTTCTAGCCAACTAGATGACGCTCGCTCGCCAAGGACGACACCTGAATTGTTACTGACCACAAGCTCTCGCATGTCCTTAACTAAGCCAGCTGGCAGAACATCGAAGAAGCTGTCCATGCTAAGCTCTCCAAGCTCGGGGAAATCTATGAGGTCGTTGCTTTTCGCGAAAAAGCCGGCGGCTATAATTCCAAATAAACTTCCAAGTAAGAAGATGGCGCCATTCCGGCGTTTCCGTGTCTTGGGTTTTACATGGTGAACAACGTGAGCTACAGTCTCGGGTTTCTCGGGGCTTTCGTCTCGAGGGGTCGAAATTTCACTATCGATGTTGCTGTCGGTGGGGATGGCTCGGCGCCTAATAGTCGAAGAAGACATGGTCGCTGTCGCAAAGGGCCGCTACCACGGGGGAAATGTTAGTAGAACGGAGTGAGCCCTTGAAGTCGATATTGTAACAACCCAAAGAGGCCAGGCTATTCCGTGGAAGTAAGGACCAGGCGGCACATACCTGAGCTTGGGATGAAGTGGAAGCGAGGACGGTGTCAACTGCGCCGTCCTCGTTGGGCGTGGCCTGGTACTTATTGAAAGGCACGTGGGCGAGTGGGCGATGGGACGGTGTGAGCTAAGCGGCGAGCAAGGGGGGGCGACTACCTATGGCAGATCCAAAGCTAGGCAAAGCTTGTTTCGTGATTTGTTGGACAGATAGAGAGGGACAAATGTTGACAAGCAGTCCCGAGGCATGCGGGATTCAGGTGTGCTTGGCCGGGCAATGTTGAGAGCCAAGGAGTCCGGAGCTCGGGGGGTGGGTTGTTGGAGGCGGCCGAGGAACGAGCAAAAAAAGATGCATGAGCTGCTTGACTTCTCCGTGCGGCCCGACGTGACGTCAATCTCCGAGGGGGGCAGCATCTTTTTCCAGCATGCTCTCCGCCAGAAGAGGTACTTGAAGGTAGTGCGTATCTTGGTGTGGTTGTTATGTATCTGGCCTTGTGGTGAGTGCGCCCGGCAGATGCACAGGCACCATGCCGCAATGGAATGCAGGGGGGTCCCACTGAATGAGGGCACCGGTCCCGTCGTAAATCCTTACGCAGTAGGTAACTGGTAACTTGGCACCAAGTAATACCTCAAGTGCTACAATATGAATTTTTTTTTTGTTATGTCCCGACGATGCTTGTCGCGTAGAAATGTTCCGAAAGCGGTCAAGTCGTTTCCTGTCTCTTTTGGTCTAACTAATTGAATAGAGGTAATGGGCTCTAAAGCAGACCCTGACAAGCAGCCCAAGGGGGCCGACTTGCATGTGATGGGCCTTGGATGAACCCCATTGCATGAACGCAAGCAAGAATTTAAACTTGGCAGATTTGACGGGCAGTAATCTCGCCTTGTGTAGGACATGAAGTGAATCCTACCTACCAACCTTGTTACGGTCTTCTTTCAATGACCTGGAATATCCAAGTTTGACAACCCTCACAAACACCACCCAGCACACGCTGGCAAGCGTGAGGCGCTGCCATCTCTGGCTTCACCCTAATGCACCTCACTTTACCATGTGCTTACCTCACCTGGTAGAAACCTCACCTCTCCGCAAAGTCGAGTTTCCAAAACTCAAGTAGGTCTGATTAAACCATTCTAGGTATCCAATGAGATGACTGTCGAGGTAGCACGAGGGCGGCCGTTTGACATGTGACAGTGAAGGAAATTCACGGCGTTTGGCTGGAAAAGGAATCTCACTGCCCTGAGAGCAACAGGCCGCCCGTCGGTAGACCCCACTAAATGGCCTGCCCGCAAAACTGCCTTGACCTCCGAATCCGACAGGGACGATGGGCGTAGATGGTGGGCCCCCGGGCGGGGCCTACCGTACTGCAGCTGGTAGGACACTGACACCGCACGGTCTGAGCGGAGCTGACTGACCTGAAGCACCGCAGCCAGAACAACTCGACTCAGTTTTAGGTATCGAATGCAGCGTCCCCCGACTCCGACTCCAACTACGCCCATCAACTTGCACCTGCAAACGCACATCTCACGATCCTGGTTCGGCCGGTTTGCACTCGCCCTTGTCTCATAACCCCCAGCCGCGGCAGAGCCGCGCCTCTTCATCTTTTGCATTCTCGTCTTGCCTTCCTCTACAGCAAACCACGCGTCACATTGGCGACACCCGGCTCTTTGCCCGCACTTTCTCTCATCCGCCTCGTCTGAGATCTCAAGACTTCACTTCTTGCTTCTTCCTTGCGCGCTATACATATTGTCATGCCTTGAGACCATTTCAGGTGCCGATATAGGCTTGTGCGCAACCTCTCACCACGACTTTTATAGCTTTGATTTCATATATCTTGCCTACGAAGTCCGACCTCAAACAAATATACCCCGCGAGACAGCAACATGGACGTTTCCAAGGTCACCCGCCTTCCCGCGGATCTGCAGTACATCCAGTACGAGCACGGCCTCGAAGCGAAATACCTTCCAGCTATACGCTCTCTGATCGCAAAGGACTTGAGTGAGCCATACAGCATCTATGTCTACCGGTATTTTCTATACCAGTGGGGCCATTTGTGCTTCATGGTACGTTACCTTTCTCTCTATTCCCTCTTGTGTATGTGCCATCGCCGTTGCTTACTTTACCACAGACTTTGAATCCCGCCGACGGGTCTCTCATTGGTGTCATCATCTGCAAGCTGGAAGTGCACTCGTCTCACTCGCCGCCAACGCGCCGGGGCTACATCGCTATGCTCGCCGTGGCCTCGCCATATCGCGGTAAAGGCATTGCGACGGCACTCGTGAAGAAGGCTATAGATGCCATGGCCCAACGGAACGCGGATGAGGTGGTCCTGGAGACGGAGGAAACCAACACACAAGCCATGCGTCTGTACGAGCGTCTTGGGTTCTTGCGTTCCAAGAAGCTACACAGGTATTATCTCAACGGCAACAGCGCCTACAGGCTGGTACTGCTGCTCAAACCTATCGACCCGGATGCCGCGTTTGATGATTCGGATGGCCAGTCTCCCTGACTAGGGGAGTATGGGGAAGATCTGCTTCTCAAGTCAAAAAGAATGCTTGATAACACGTGCGGCGTTATTTGACAACAACCGCACCGAAAGGTTAGATTAGGGTTACATGAGAGCTGGCAGAGTATCGTCGTTGCTTTAGAACGGGATATTGCGTGGGTAGAAACGTTAGCATCACTAGGGGCATGGGTACCGGACTTGGTGGTTTATTGCGTCGTCGATTCTGATAGATGGTTGAGCGTTGTACAAGGGGACAGAGGCATTTTTTTGGCAGGGCGCATGTCGCGATTCGTATTCACACATATGGCATAGGCTCGTGGCAGTACTCTACATGTACGGCTTATGAGAGGTACATAGCAATCTTATGTACATTCATTAGAGGAGCAAAGATGACCTGCAGTCCGTCCTCTTAGCCTTGCTGACCGCCGTCGACTCTTTTCGCTCGTTTCTTCGAACCGATTGACCTAGCTTTTCTTCCTCACTCCCAACAGTATGCAGCCCCTGAGAGGAGTACTGGTCTTTCCGGCCATCGTAAGCCTACACCTGCAAGGCGCCGCGTCATCAAGTGGATCGTATTTGAGCTCCTCTCGGGAAGTGGAAGACCACAAGGCGGATGATTGTCTAGGATAGCACATCCCTAGAACTGTAAATCGATGCCTTCAAGCCCCAGTGATTACCGGAAGCGATACCGAGATACGTAAATGCATCTTGGGCATGTCAGACCGAAAACTTTCTCCGTAATAGGAGGCTTCTACGAACCTGGTTTATAGTAGATAGGACGTCCCATGGCCTCAACGAGCTTGAGCTCTCTCAGCCGACGCAAGATCCGGGTCACATCTGCCATATCGCTGAAGTCGGCCGTATAAACGCATACAATCCGGTCTTTTCGACCGGTAGGGTCGGTATACGGATTCCAAGGGGCAACTTTTGCGGCAATGCCTAGTTCGTTGTTCGCTGTGGCGCTTGCTATGACGTTCCAGACTTCGTTAACATCCTTGGGCTGACAGAAGAGCATCCACTGTTTGACGAGAATGAGCTATCGTATTTGGTACGCGCGGGCCTTGTTGAGAGCACTTGCCTTGCCGGCCTTGATCTTGCACATGTGTGCGAGGCCCATGATATCCCGGGTGGCATCTTCTTGTTCTTGCCTCAGCAGCTTTGCCTGTACTGCCTTGGATTTGTTGGTCTTTTCGAGGCCTAGCTTGTAGTTGAGTAGGATCTCTAATCTCTCCGAGCCCCCCTCGATAAGGGTATCGAGTCGGGAGCCTTCCTCCTCCGGTGCTTCGTCCTCATTGCCTCTGCTCCGCTGGTTCTGGGCATTGAACCTGTCCTTCCTGCGGATGTACGGATTGCATACAAAGATCCACGGGAGCCGCTCGCTGTGCTCCGTCGTCTCGGGAGGCAGACGATCAAGGAAGTCATTGACCGTCTCCGTTAACTGCCACGCGTAGGGAACACCGGCATACGGGTTGTGGAGTTTGGTGCTGTCGAGAGGCTCCTTCTTGACTTTTCTGTCCATCGCCGAGATGGAGGCCGCCGCCGCATTCCTCTCTTCCCACCACTGGGAAACGTCAAATGACGTAACCCGAGACTCTAGGTCGGCGACAATCTCATCGTCCCCTGAGCGCGAATTAGTTCGTCTCGTTCAACATCAATTGAGCTCATAAAGACGCAAACCGTAGAAGTCAGATTCGTCAGAATCCATGTTACCCAATGCAAACTCTAGGAAACACAAGAACCAATGCTCAAAGATCACGAACAAGAATGAAAGTGCCTTGTCTAGTTGTGAGGAAAGTGCGGTGAACGTTTGCTGTTTCGGAGCAGAAAAAGAAAGCACCACCCCAGTAAAGAATAATGACCATCGACTGTTGTAAAACAAGTACCTTAGTATCGACAAGGTGAGGGCAACGTCATCCTCTTATGTGTATGTGCGGGCGGGGGACAACGTGTTGATAAAGTTTAAATCTATTGGAATGAAGGAACAAGGGGATGCTACAGACACCCCGTTGTTTTTGGAAAGGATTGCAACTTCCGAACCGATTAGCGGCTGTCAATCCCGGGGTCGGGGGTTGCGGGATCCTTCCGCCTGCGCCGGGGCCGATAACCCTCCCGGAACTCTTTGGCGAGTGCAGAATCTAAGCACCGCACGTCAAATCTCAAAATCGACTTCCCCCACACGTCTTCCCCAGACTCCAAACTACCTAGGCATTCCATCATCGAAAACCCGAGACGAGACAGCATAGGTCGGTGAGACACCCCGCATTTAGCAATACCTTTCGTCAAACACTCGAAAGCTGGGGATTGGAAGTTTTTCTTTTCCAGCCCAAAAGAGAAGACAACCCTCACACAAACCACAATGGGTGACTCAGCCCCAACCATTACTTCGAAGCAGTCTCTCATCCTCGACTTGCCCCCAAGCTGCATAGAGTTCTGCTCAATACATCCGTCTTATTTCGTAGTCGGCACATACAACTTGGTCAAAGAAGAGGAGGCGAACACTGAGTTGTTAGAAAACGCAGATGTTGCCGTTCCCAAGAGACCTCAAAACCGGAACGGTAGCTTGATCGTATATCGGCTCGTAGACGGCCTTGTGTAAGTCTGCCACTTGCGTACCAAGAAGGATTGTCCTCTTTTCTGTTTGACTTACTCGTTTATAGTCAACATGTGCAAACACTCTTGCACCCTTCAGCAATTCTTGATCTGCACTTCTGCTCATCGTCTGGGCGGGAGGATATCTTGGCTGTAGTTTCGAGCACGGGAACACTTTCCATCTTCAAGTTGGCCCCGGACACCGACGACGCAGAGCCGTTGAAGCATTTGGCCACGAGCAGAATCTCCGATATACCTGAAGGCGTTCTCTTCCTCTCTGGGGTTTGGGACCCGAACGATGCCGCCTCTATTGCGTTGACAACCTCGTCGGGTGAGGTGCGCATTGTAAAACTCGGCGATTCATGGGAGATTGTAGATGAAGAGGACTCGGAGGCTATTATTACGCATTCTCTCGAGGCCTGGACAGTTGCTTTCTCGCCACCTGACCAAACCACGCCATTCATCCTCTACTCCGGAGGAGACGACTCGGCATTGCGCTACACATCGTATTCTCGCAACGAGGATGCGGCTATCGAGGCTCTGTATGCGCCCCTTAACATCCCCGGCCACGGTGCCGGCGTGACGGCTATCCTCCCTATACCACTCACTCTTGCAGACAACTCAAGACTACTAGTTACGGGTAGTTATGACGACACAATAAGAGTCTTTTCGGTACAACCGCCGCACGAGACGTACGGTATGCGAAAGGTCAAATGTCTCGCAGAGGAGAACCTAGGAGGTGGTGTGTGGAGGCTCAAGTTGATCGACATGAAAAGCAGTGCTGATCGATGCCGCCTGCGCGTCCTGGCATCGTGCATGCATGCTGGCGCCAGAGTCGTCGAACTCGAAGGCCCGCTAAGTGGCGAAGACTGGGCCGTGACTGTCCTGGCCCAATTCGAGGAACACAAGAGTATGAACTACGGAAGCGATTTTGTGCCGGCATCGGAGAGCAAGCGTCTTGAGTGTGTATCGACGAGCTTCTACGACAAGCTTTTGTGCCTGTGGGAGGTAGAACTAGCCTAGGTCAAGGTAGAAGAATGCAAAGCAAGTAAAATTGACAGCCTAGCTATGATGCCTAGTCTTCCTTCCAACCCCATTTGCCGACTTGATGTACTAGGTATGTCTGGGGAAGACAGGGGATGGTATTTGTGCTTAAGATCAAGTGCCTCAGACAAGGGGTTTGCCATGTTGAAGACAGGATTTGCCTGTAGTTTCTATGCATACTCGCGCAATTAGGCTGATGTGATTTCCGATGAGGCGGTCCCATCATTGAAGCAACTTGCGTAGTCTATAAACAGACATGTCAGATACCGCATTGCGGCGTCAAGGGGTCCTCATGCATCCTTTTTCGCAATTGGATGATAGCCAATTCCTAAAAACGTGGGGGAGGTACGGATATTCGATTGCCAAATGGCGGGGTATTTCCCTGGGTACGGTAGGCATGCATATACCAAGGCTAAGTTGACTACCCGGTAGCATGGCAAGGTATGAAGATGCCGAAATTAAATAACGTAGATTCACGAGAACGCATCTGCCTAGGCGAGGTGATGTGAGTTGAGGTGGGGTGACAGGTTCTCTCCGCATTTCCCATGTTTTCGTCCGACTCCCAACACATGGGCACTTGTGACATGGGACTTGAGATAATTGGGGGTATCTTTGGAATGCAGTACATCACTTGAGATGGGAGAAATGGATGATGCAAAACATGAACCGTCCTGTGTGCATCGCGACGTGTAGTCTCCTGCTTTCTTGCCTGCTTCCAAGTCGGTCAAGTAAAGGCTCAAGGCAGGGCAAAGCAGGGTTTCATTGCGTTAGGTACCTACCTACCTAGTAAGTCAGGTACGGACCTGGGACCTGTGAGGTGAGTCTGAGATGGCCCAGCCCCAGGTACACGGTCACCCCCCGGCCCGAACAGCACAGCACCGGGGACAGCGCATCACAGCAGCAGCAGGGCACCCGACAGCAACCACATGGAACCTTGCCCTGCGGTGGGCGGAACTGCTGAGCGCGTCGGACCTGAGGTACCTGGGGCGTGGGCGTGGGTCACCTTACACCTTGGGCTCACCTCACCACCTGCCTGCCTTAACGCCGCGCCAATTCCCACCTTTTAGCTTTACTTTCTGTCCGCCTCTGACGATGCAATTCAATATTGCTTCTTGCTCCTGCTGCTGCTGTTGCTAGTCCTTTAGCTTCTACCTCTGTCACGGCTGCTACACGCATACCATTTCCGCGCAGCTCTCAAGATCGACACTCGCTTTTGCATCTGCGTACCTCACCTTAACCAATCCCAGTCTAATCTCTCTGCTTCCTTCACTACTGCCCCCCGACAAACTTTCCGCTGCTCAGCTTTGTCTTGCATATCCTTCCCACCGCATCAAGGTCAGAACAAACGACCTTGATAAGTCTTGACCAAGAACTTGTGGCAGGTACAGAGCTTCCGGTACGTCCTTGCACCCCAGTGTATGCATGTTCTGTAATGCACTTTCCAGTGTAGTCTTATCCTTTTCCTCTTCTTTGCCATTCGACGGTGGCCGTGGCTAACTCTAATCTCGACTTCTTGGGCAGCATTCCTCACCGAGCTTGCACTTCGATCTTTCCTCCTACCTGCTCCTCTCACCGTCAGGTTCCCTCGAGTCCACCTCCCGACGAATGAACCAGCATTAAGTCACCTGCTGGACAAGCAGCTTCCACGGCTGGACACTTTGCGGTGTACTGCGACCCACGGAACATATCATGGACGGCCGGACGCCCAATGGCGCAGCCGGTATGGCTCAGAACGCTACTTCCACCAACGGTGGAAACCCCGACATCATCTCCCAGATCCACCAGGCCCTCGAGGTCATACACAGTCCTTACTCTTCCAACGAGTCCCGCCGAGACGCACAGCTTTTCCTCGAGAATATCAAGGGCATAGACGAGGCCCCCTTCCACGGATTCACCCTCGCATCCAACAAGTCGCAGTCCCCCGTCGTGCGCCACTATGCCCTCTCTTTGCTCGAACACGCAATCAAGCAGAAATGGGCCGAATACAACGAGCAGCAGTCTACCATGCTGCGCGAATGGGTTATGGAGCTTTGCCGCACCCTGTCAAAGGAAGACCCGCTATATATTAGGAACAAGACAGCTCAGCTGTGGGTAGAAGTCGCGAAGAGATGCTGGGGCGCCGAGTGGATGGATATGGACGAGCTCTTGGTACGGATTTGGCAGATCCCTGACTCTCCTGTCCACAAAGAGCTCGTCCTTTTCGTGCTTGAGACCCTGTCCGACGAGGTCTTCAATGGCGACGATGCTGTTGTTGCCATGCGCGAAGGCGTCCTCAGCAGAAGCTGCGTCGAAGTCTTTACCCCAGCTTCCGTTCTCAGAGAGGCATTTCCCAACAGAGTTGCAGGCCCCGAAGTGCGCTCTGGGGAAGAAGGTTGGCTAAGCAGGGTATCCGAGTTTCTCAGTCAATGTCTCGACGGTGACGCACCGAACAACGACCAAATCCGCTCCTGCGCCGTGAAGTCCTTGACTGTGTTCTATTCCCTCATGCCATGGGCCATCCCAAAGTCTGTTGCCGTTGCAAACTGCGTTCCGGTCATGTGCAGGGCTCTTGCAACTCCCGAGGTGTCCATTCAAAAGGTACCAAGCAGTCCGTCTTGTGGTGCTCGTTCTGCCGTTAAAAAGGAGCCAAAAGCTAACACCGACTAGGCCTCGCTGGAAGCTCTGCATGCGCTCTACTCCCGTTCCAACTTTTCAGAACAAGAGTTCAAGGACCTTGTCGCGCCCATGTATGATGCTAGCCAAGTAGACCTCATGAAGAGGCTCTTTGAGTGGTCTGCTGTGGATGTGGAAGACATTGACGAGGACAAATACCAATTCGGCAAAAAGTTCTCAGAGGTGCGTCTATCATGGTGTAGAAGCCCCCCCAAGTTACTAATTGCTAGCAGATGCTGTCCCTTCTCGGCAACTACCTCGACCGGCGGTTCTCTGCCATATCTACAAACTCGGATGTCAGCGGTTTTCTCAACCTGCTGCTGCTTACCGTTCAGAGCCAGAGTCTCATCATCGCGATTCCAGTCCTGGCAACCTGGACACGTCTCCTCAACAACAGGCTAATTGGACAAAGCCCAGCCAACAGTCATCTCGTTGGGCCTCTTCTTGAAGTATGCGGCTCTCGCCTGATACGCTACGAGAATCTGCCCGAAGACACCCAAGACCAGACCTTTATGTTCCTGATGGAGGATACCGATACCGTTCCCGAGCGTCACGCGTTTCTCGGCAACTACCGAAGATACAGCACTCAAGTCATTGAGACCATCGTCCAGCTCAAGCTGTCCGACGCAGTATACCACGTTCTTGGTCAAGCGGAACACGTTTTGCAGCATCTGTATGACGAGAGCCCGCCAATGAATGGTGAGTTGACAGACATAATCCTTGAGCGGAAGCCAAAGAGCAAAAACTGACCTTCCAGTCGCGACGTATTTCAAACACTCTATGCCTGTTCTTCGTGTCGATGCTCAGTTTACAGTCATCGAAGCCGCACTCAAGGGCTACATGAAATGGAGAGCAAGCACCACTCAGCAGAGCTTACCAGACTATGTAGGTGACGAAGTCTCCGATATTCGAATCAATGCTGACTTGCTTCTAGGAGCAACAGCGTGCTGCACTAGAGAGGGATTTGGAGTCGTGGTGCACCAAACTTCTGGAGATGAAGTTCGAGGATCCTCTGATTCGCAAGAGAGTTTTACAGCTGTTGGTCGCCTTCTCAACAACAGCACTTGACAAGAAACCAGGCTTCATGCTCAAGGTTCTCGAGCACATTTTGATGACCTGGCCGGCGCCCCAGCCGGAACATCGTGCTTTCAATGAAGCGATCAAGGACTTCCAGTCTGAGAGCATGGTAGAGTTGCAGAGGCTAGCGTCCAAGGTTCCTGATCACTTGCTCGCGGTTTATGATCAAATCGAGGCAAAGGTTAACGACATGATCTCGTCTGGTACTCTGGATGAGAAACGCCAAATCGCTTATCAAAGCTTTCTCTTCATCATCATTCACCGAGCATCCAACATCGATCCGGCCAAACAGGTTGAACGACTCCAGCAATTCATCAAGCCTGTCACATCCTCATGGCAGAACCAAGAGCTGAAGAACGCATTGTCATCGTACTCTGGCTTTTGTGAATTGATGGCCTTGGACAAGGCAAAGAGATACCTGATGAGCCACCGCGTACATGAGGTCAAGGAATGGGGTTCCTGCGAGTTGGATGCGGAGGGTTTGGCTCTACAGGCTGAATTGGAGGAAAGGCAAAAGGTTGGTAGAACCGAGACACGTCCAATGTGGTGTTATGCTTACTTGTCTACAGATGTTGCCGCTCAGGCCTACCAAGTCTTTCCTATCATTCTCTGTCGAGAAGCTTGAGAAGACGTCGACGCCATTCCAGATCTCGTACCAGCTGTGGAATGACAGCTTTCCGCTGATCCTTCCGGATCTTTTGCAGTTCCTCAGGTAAATTCCGCTTCATCACTCCTGGTCTTCGTCGACTGACAGGCGTTGTAGCCATGCCCACGCCTCCCACAACCCGGATAACTGGACAGAACTGCCCAACGAGATGAAGTCTGTTGTTGGCAACGTGCTCAGCGACCGTTTCTGGCAAGCAGGCATTTCAGAGGGCAGCAAAGATGAGTTCTACGCAAGGGTCATGGATAAGAAGAACACACTCGAAGGTCTTGCATCGACGATCCGCGGAACCGTAAGGTTTGTAAGGGAAACTTGTTACGCGATCATCTACTGCATGAGTCGTTTGGAGATGCAGTTTTACGGCTTCAGCGAGCTGCCCGGTCCGCTTGCGCAAGCACTCTTCCAGAACTCATTCCACCTGTCAGCACATCAGCAAATCAATCTGCTCAACCTCGTCAGGTATCTTGTGGATGACTGTCCCCTCGAGCAGCGAGAGCATTTCCTACCCCCACTTCTAGCTGCCTGCTTCCAGCAAATGGACGCCAAGATCAATGCCGAATGGGAGAACTTGGAACGTCAGCAGGCCATACAGGCAGCTGCCGATGCTCTGACGGAGGAAATGAAATCAGAGAGCATCTTGCGCCAAGTCACCTATACCGCAGTCATTATGGTGGCGGATTTCTTGGACCCTACGAAAAGGAGTAAGTTAATCTTCCTTCTCCTTTCTTCCCAGACTTGATCCTCGCCCATCTCCTCTATCTTCCTCGGTCAGATTGTCGCAGTCTCCCTCCAACCGTTTGCTACTCTAGGATCCCTTTGGGCCGTTCTGTAGTAGACTATCTGCCTGCTACCCCGCTCCTCATCCTCGTCATTTCCCCGTGTGCCTCGGCTGGGAGCAGACGCCGGTGGGGATGGCAGTGCTGGTTCGAGGGTTTTGGAGAGACGGTATACATGGCGAATAAGCTGACATGGAAATCTAGACCCCCCGCCATTGAGATCTCAGAACGGTCAAGAGCAATCACGGAAGTATCCATCACTTAGGAAGTTTTGCCTGATGCAGTCGACCGTAGTTGAGCCATTGCTCCTTTTCTGCACGCACGCCATCCGCATGCGAGACACTCGTTGCTGCAGCATAATTCTGCGAGTGTTCCGTTCCATCGTCCCAGACTTCACCGTGGCTGAGCCACTGTCGCCCAAGTCTTTACCCCAAGATGGTGCTGAGGTGGCACCGTCCAGCAGGGACCCTTACCTCGATACCTCGCCAGTATCCGCGGAAGCAGCTACTGCCATCAGGGAATACATAGCTTCGGACGTGCTCCGGGCTTGCATTACCTCCTTCCATGAGCCCTACTTTGTAGATCTACAAAAAGACTTGGCGTCTCTGATCGCTGCCATAGTGGTTTACTATAGCCCTGTCACGAGCACCCCGCGCGACATACTCATGTCCCTGCCTAACATCAGGCAAGCAGACCTTGACAGACTCAATGACTTTGTGGCCAAGCCAGCCTCACACACGCGGCAGCAGAGAGCACTTGTGCTTGACTTGCTCAAGGACCTCAAAGGAGTCAGTATTGCCGAGATGGGAAAGCTCCCCAAGAACAGCGGCTTCGGGCGCAGCAAGAGGTCAAATCGTAGCAAGATGGCTCAGGAGTTCATGACACCGGCCAACGAGTCGAGAACACGGGGCGGTGGGGTTGCTGATGGGGGGCGTGCCACACCAGACGCCTTGGAGGGGGTGGCCGGCCTTTTCGAGGGCTGAGAAACCAACGGGAACCTACCTTGAGGATGGAAATGCACCGTTATCCGGCAAAGGCTATGTGCGAACATGTGCCCCGTCTCGACCCGGCCATCTGGCCAGCAGTTGATGGATGGGCGTCCAACGATCTGGCCGAATCGAGAGTGATTGGATGGGTATCGAGGTGGGCTCAAAATACCACCTGGGCTGGATAACTAGAAAGAAAAAGAGTATAGATATGTCATGGGCTGATGGGAAGGACTAGGATCCCAGCCATGCTTTGGAGGATTGAAAAGATACCAGTTTTTTCCCAAGGACCGTAGTCTCCCCCCCCCCCCCGCTTTAGAGTTTGCCGTACCGTTGAGCTGATAGTATGAAAGAGTTACGGATACAGCAACAGTGAGACTACAATGACCCAGATCGAAAGTGACGCGCATCAACATACAACGTACTTGCCTGGACGTTTAACAGGCACGCTGGCAGCATCTGCTCAGGCCTTCCCAGAGCAGAAAGGCCCGCCATGGCGTACATTTGACAGCGTCGGGAGTTGAGATGGTCGGTGGAGGGGATGCGGCTGCAGTGCTGCAGGTGCAGGTGGTCGTATGTATCCGTAGTCCGCAAGCATTTCCAAACTGAGATAGCTTCTCATCCCGGGATCCGAAAGAAGAGGGACCCTCCCTTCCCCCCGTGCTGCCCTCCCCTCCCCTTACCATGCAGGACTGGGCAATTTTTTTTATTTTATTTTTTGACTGGGACTGGCTACATGGTACATGATGACTTGGGTATTGAGGAACTCGGGCACGAGGGAGGTCGATTCACCCAAGGGAACCGGTATTAGACTGGACGGGGAGACCCCCCGGGGCGAAAGGTCATTGCTGCACGGCCGATTCGTGCCTTTGGGGCGACAGATGTACCCGTGATTGAAGCCCCAGAACATGGTTTGGAAGAGAGAAAGATCCCGTCGTCTAAACTGGGAGGTCAATAGTAGGTGCATCTGCCCATCTCTGCTCTTAACCTTACTACGCTTACTTTGTTGTATCCGCAGCCGGGACTTCGGGACGGGAATCAAAGGGCACGAAGATCCGTAGAGACAGGGACCCCGAGGGCCCAGGGCCCAGGGCCAGGGCCGTGGCTGTGAGGAGCAGCAACTGGGCAAGAGGAGCGGCGGGTAACCCGACGATCAACCTCGGCGATCGCATCGCATCACATTGCATGGAATCTAGAATTGGTGCTACACGGCCGTGTTTCTTTTTCTCTTTCTTTCTCTTCGTACATTGCATCCCCTGTCCTGGAGGTAGGTAGTCGGGTCATTCTTGTTTAGTTTTCTCAAGGAGAAGGGGGTCAAAGGGCGAGGAACATTTGCACGCATGAGCTGTATGCCGGTGGGGTTCGTCGAATCGTTGGTACTACTCCATGAACCACATTGTCGTCTATTAGAAACGGCGGCGGGAAGACAAGATTTCTTGTTCTCGGGGAGATTTGCGCCCCTCTCTGCGTGGAATGGTTTCCCTGGCCTCGAAGTACAAAGTAGGTGGAAGATGCCGAGGCGATACAAAGAGTCATCATCATCACCACCCTACGGATATTGAGCAACTCCAATCATCCACTAAACCTACCATGTTAATTAATTTCCAGGCACGCCAGGTCACCACGTGTTCATCAGGAGAGAGGGGCGGAAGGTAATTGTCTTGGTTTCCCTGGAATCCCTCCTCTTCGGCCGAGGCATTGAAGAGATGAAGTTGTGAGACGAGGAGGGGAAAACGATTCATCGGCACTGGCTCGCCACACACGCGTACACACAGACACACCATCCCGCCTCCAGCCCCGGCGGCTAGATCTACTATCAATCTGTTTGGAACCCTACTTCAATTTGCCATCGTTGAGCTGAACCGGCATTTCGTTGTTTGTGTGTTTGTGTGGTTTGCTATACGCCTCGGCAAGATGGCGTCGCAGAGCTCCGGGAGACGAGCAAGTAGTTCATTTTCCTGTCCCATCGATTTGGGTCCAAACCTTGGAGTTTGGGGGAGGGGGTGGGAAGGGATCTACCCCGTAAGCTTACCCACATATGGTACCTTAGATAGTAGATCGGCGGGCGGCAGACGGCATACACGGATACAGGCATCGAGAATTGGGGGCGATAGTGTTTTGTAAAACGAGAAAACATGACCTTGTCTTGTAAGGTGTTTGTGTGTACCATACCGTCGGCTTTTCGTTGCTGTATGCAGTAACACACGCCCGATGCCCGGAGCCGTATTGGCGGGTCTTACTCTGGGTAGACCACCGATGCGTTTCGGGGCACTCTTTCCCATAGAAAGAGGTGACAAATAATGTCATCGAGAAGACATCCCTTGTAATTTCATTGCGGATTTGGGTACACAAGCCGGCGTGTGAGAGATGTAATGAGCTAGATGGAGTAGTTTGAATACCCGCGCCGTGGTACTTCCAGTGTAGAAACCAGGATAATAGAGAAAAACGGACAAAGGCCCGAGTAAGTGTGCGAGAATGCGAGGAACACTGGAAAGGTCCGACGGCGCGTTCTAGAGATCCCGTCTCCCGATAGACAGGGTTGGAAGAGCATCATGCGGCATGATTTACTCATGGGACGAAGCACGACCTAGGGCTGTATCGGTAGTCAATAGAAAACCATGGAAGAAGCACTGAACCACTCGGCCGATGAAGCTATTTATTCAACGAGACTGGGATATGGCAAAGTCCCATCTAACGTTTAACGCTCGTTGCGTCTTGACTTTGCAGATTACCTCATCCCTCGTTGTCGTCAATTGACTGTGAGTTTATTTACCTTGGCAAAGCAAGGTTCCCGTGTTTTCCGGTTAAGCAGCCTGACCGTGAACCCAACCGACGATGAGCGTATGGAGTAGGCTTGATCAGCGGCTTTCGCGAAGTTGAGGTGAAAAGCGAGGAGTTTGTTATACAAGCCGGCGAGGAGTATAGCCTGCTGCCTCATCGATTGTCTATGCGTGGATGACGGAGAGACGCCTGAGAGATGACAGCATTCGGCCAGCCTGGAACGATAGGAAGACGCGGTCCGTGCAATGCGAAATCCCGGAGCCGCGAGTAAGATAAGTGGGATGACTTACTTAAAATCAAGATTCATTAGTCGAGTGAGTTCTTGGATGATCCAGCTTACATCCGCAACGGATAGGCTTTCCTGTATATGGGGATGTCTTATGCTGCTGCTGTCAAGCCCCTCTCAACGGTTCACAACATGTAGATATCATGTATCCCTGGCACAGATACACTGTACAGGACATTAGATGCGAGGTATCGGTCGAGCTTGATACGCTGGAGCCGTTGGTTTTGGTTTAGTACATCCATTCACATGGATACTCAAGTCGCAACACGCACGAAGACTTTGGTGACCCCACAATTGAAGAGGATGGGACGTTGTCATAAATGACTGGTAACATGCAGTCCACCTTTGCCATCTCCTAATGCGTAAGCCCAGGCCAGGGTTCTGGAGCCGAATCGAGGGTGTATCCTCATACACCTCTGTACCTCTTCTGTGTGGACTTGGATGTATCGGGTGATCGGGTGGTGGTGTAGGCGTGCTAGGTATGAGTGGTAGGTCCCGCGGTGCCGTCAGAACGATATCTGAAGATCTGAGAGAAGCAGCGCGGTTCGCTGTGATCGACCGACCAAGCCTGGCTATTTCCGGAGACTGCGAAGATAGCCAAGGGGCCTTGGGGGCCTGGGCTGGCTGCGGAAGCTTTCGATCCTGGGCGTTTGGTTGACTTTCTTCCGGCCTGGCCTGACGAACGTGTTTATTTGCCAGCGTCGGCCTGATAAAGCCTCAATGATGGGTGAAAACGACATTTGTAGCTCGGGATAGGACGATTTGGAAAGAGGGGTTCCCATGTAGATTTCGCCGCTGAGCTGACCCAATATGGCTTCATAGCCTTTGATAGATTCTGCGCTTTGGTGTTGAGGCGAACAAAGTATCGGAGTCCGTTGAATGACTGGAAGCCGTTGTCGTCTTGATCTAGTTCGACTGTGCGTCTGAACTGATTAGGCTCTGACGTTTGTGCCGGGCCATACGATAGATGTCAGAAGGGGTTGATGGGCAAGTGACAGGCAACGTTGTTGGATCACTGGGTCAATGGTAATCAAGATACAATTGGATGGCCAAGGAAGGTTTCCGTTTTCCATCGCCGCCGTCGTCGCACCAAGAGGGGATGAGGGGACCCAAGAAGTGGTCGACTGTGAGTCTGTGAATGAGACATTGAGGCTGCGCAAAGCGTCGGACACACTGTGCTGGCGTGATGGTCTTGTTAACCTAGCCAGCTGACAGGGAATGGTTCAGTGCAGGATTCCTTCCATGCCACTCTATCTGCAGCTGAGGGGGGCTTCTAGCGTAAAGGTAGCTTAGCTTCCACTGGCGATCGTAACATGTTATCTCCAGTCGGAACTCTTGTCTCGTCTTGTCATACGGTAGCATACCTTGGGGATACATCAGTCGGTGGATCGGAGCGGAGAATGGAAGCAAAAGAAACAAGACTTTTGACTCTGCTTCACAGCGGCCGCCGTACGAGGTCCGTGAGCGGGAGACAGTGCAGTGACATCGCACTTTGTTTGTCCGAGTCGAGTCAACTAGGCTGGATAAGTTGTAACTGTGCGTTGGTCCGTTGGATTGGATTGTGGGTTCGAGATTGAGCTTGTCGACTGTTGTTGGTTGTCTGAGATGACGGGATTTCTGTCAACGGCTTGGCGTGACGCGATTTTCACTTTCTGCTAGTGAGCGGATGCAGTATTTCTGCACCGACGAGACGATAGTTGCAACTTGCGTTGGGGCAGAGGCTTTGCCAACGGTCCGATCCGGAAATGTCAGATTGGTAGATTGGCAGACAAACTATCCTCACGGTGGTAGTCGAGCCCATCAATGCCGCCCATGCGCAGATAGTACATAGAGACTGGAGACTCGAGACTAGAGAGTCAGAGTCAGACTAGGTAGACAGGCCAGAGGGTGATGTGCATTTGGAGGATCCATTCAGGGCATGTTTGCTTTTCCCGCCAGTCATGCGCTCGAAACAGACACTTATGGCCCGGCTTTGTCTTGTTTTATCTTGTCTTGGTTGTTGCTCTTCCTTTGGGGGCCGCGCCGCTCACCTGTTTCCTGCATCTTAGTCACCAACAAGCTGTCTTGCTGGCACATGTTTCCTCAAGCAGGAGGGATACGGGACACTATGCCAATGTCTCAGTATACTGTCTCGGCTTCACGCCGTCGTCTCGTGGGAATTTGGAAGTGAATCGAGGGGGCAAGGGGATGCTGAGTTGATCCTTCAAGTGGATATCGACATCCTGTACAGATGTTCTGTGCTGTGTCTTCAAAGGTGCCTCACCTTTGATAGCAAGGCAAAATTGAGCTTGAAGTCTAACATAGATTATGAGGAAGAGGCTGAGGTGTTCGAGAAAAGAGCACCAGCGAGTTCCTGACTCTGCCAAAATGTACGGAGTACATACTAAGGTACTACCGGTACCTGACTACCTAGATCTGTAAGGTAGGTACCTTGTGTGCGGTACCTGACGAGAGAGAATTGTGTCTCTGGGAAAAAGTACTTATATGCCAAGACAACACCGGCGTCTGTTCCGGAAGTAGCCGTCCAGACCTGAATGGCTGCGAATTTTGAGTGTGCAGTGAAACCGTCCAAAGGCGGCAGCGCTAGCTGTAGGTACGGACACCTTAGTCCTTGCACGGTACTTTAAATCTTGTACTGTGTGGGTCTTCGTGGTTTCTGCCGTCGAAACTCAACTCTGCCGACTCCTCCGCGCCTTCTTAATCAGATTCCAGAACCCAGAGCCCCGGAGTCCCATACGATGAATGCGGGCAGAGACAACGGCATCCCACCGCCATAGTGTTGGCCTTTCTGCTCGATGTCGTCTTCCAGAGTCGATCCCGTCACCATCCAGCAGTATAAGCGTCAGCCCGTCAGCAGCTCTCGTCCCTAGATTCGGGTCCAGCTGAAGGATACACAACAATGAACCAAATCATGGGGCTAGATGCAAAAGGGCAACCAGCGGCGTGGCAGAAAACCAGTCAGAGATGCTCAGTTACTACTACTAGTGGCAGGTCACCGATCCAGCTGGCCCGACTCCCCCGATACTCGATGCTGTATCACCAAGATCCCGGGCGTATCCTGGACAGCGGACGAGCCAAGCCAGCTTCACATCCCCTCACTGTCACGCTTTCTGCGACAGCCACCGTTGGCGGGGGCCCTCCGAGTCCCGAGGCTCTTCTCCACCACTCACAACGGGAATCTTGCTCCAGCACTCTACAGTACGCAGTGCGTACGAAGTACTCGAGAGTCGTATGGACGATGGTACGGTACAGTTGTAACAAGGTGGACGGAATATTGCCCAGGGGAAGAACCCGGGCCCCAATAACAGGTCGACATAGCCATGGTGTGCAACCAAAAGCGCCTCTCCTTGGTTTGGGTTCTCAGGAGAGTTACATTCCCCCTCGGTCACTGACCTCTGCTATAGAGACTGAGTGTGCCGCCAGCTCAGATCAGCAACGTCTGCAGCTCCAGCTTGTTGTCAAAGCGGGCTCCCCTGTTTCCTTTCCTTTGGCGGACGCAATTCTGCTTTCCGACCGACTTCTGCCCTCTGGCTTCTGCCCTGCCAGCCTGTTAGTTCTGAGCTAACCTCTCCATACAAAGCAAGGTATCCATACTTGGCTACCGTTTGCATAGTAGCCCGTTTGTATCCCCTGCTTGCTCGTCCTTTGCCCCCACCCACAATGAAAAACCCCATCACCATCATATTCCCCCCTACCCCTCCCCATGCAACGCATCGCCCTGCTACAGGCACAGTCTAGCTACATGCGCCATAACGAAAGGCAAGGTACCTCTAATCCAAGGTCGGGGAGAGGGTGAAGAGAAGATGGAGAGGATGGGAGTCATGTCTTCTGTAGTTCACTGCAGACTCCCTTCATGACCAGTGAGCCAGCGTTTATAAGGAAAAGGTACTTCTATGATACTTACAGCATGGAAGTTCTCCGTGGGGCCTACAGTACGCAGCATGTATCTGGCGTTTCCTTGGCCTAGTGCGTAACTGCCCGCACTCAAGAGGAGAACCTCTCGACAAGGGACTGCTATTTGCCTGACGCGACTTCACAAAGGACTCAGAGACTGCTAAAGCAATACAGTAGAGACTGGCAGAGGGCCCCCCCCCCTTTTGAAC